GAATTATAAATGTTATTAATAGAGATTAAATAAAATGTTTTATGTTTAAATGTGTTTTCTGCCATTTAAAAAATCCATCCATTCTGTCCTTGTTCCTAATCAGGGTCAGGGTGGGAGCTGGGGCCTTTCTCAGATCTCAGACCATCACATGGACACTCTGGTCCCACTGAAGAGCTCAAAAAGAGTTTCAAACTGGGAACTCTAGAATCAGATCCCCCTGCTGCTTCACGAAGTTTAAATTACTTATTATTAATAATAATAATTTATCATATCTACCAAAAGGGTTTCAAACTGGGAACTCTGGAATCAGATCCCCCTGCTGCTTCACGAAGTTTAAATTACTTATTATTAATAATAATAATTTATCATATCTACCACAGTAAATTGTGATTATCACGAGGAGTCTTTAACATTGAGATTTAATCAGGAAGTCAAATATTTACCTGTATAAATTTATTATAAATTATACTATAATTAAAAATGAGCCGTGCAAATTTGTATCAAGTAGCCCTTCCTGTTACTCAGTACCCCCAAAGTAGCTCCTAGTATCAAAAAGTGTGGTGACCCCTGCTCTAATGTGTAGGATTACAGCGCCCCCCTGTGGCGTGATGAGACGCTGATCGACACTTCTTAGATCAGACAGACAGGTTCATGACTCTGCCCCACGAAAGCTCCAAAATTTCTGTTTCAGAGTAAAACCAAGCGCAGCAGTTTGGGGAAGCGTGGCGCCTCCCTACCTCCGGACGATGATGCTGCCGATGTAAAAACAGAACCTACCCCACCAGCCGCTCAGAAAAGTTTACCATCTTCTCCGTCCAACAAGAGAGGCTCATCAGGAAGAAGCAGCGGTTTAGACTCTACCCCAAAAAGACCCGTTCCTCCTGAGGTCCGTCGGCTGATTGTCAATAAAAATGCCGGAGAGACTTTGCTCCAACGAGCGGCTCGCCTGGGCTATCAGGTAAACTCTCCAAGCTGACAGACGGTTAGTCTTTAAAACACGCCGGTCTGACAGCCTGTCTCTCCTAACTGCAGGACGTGGTCCAGTACTGTCTGGAGAAAGACATCAGGGAGGTCAACCGCCGCGACAACGCAGGTTACACCGCTCTGCACGAGGCGTCGTCGCGAGGCTGGACTCAGATTGTCCAGATGCTTCTGAAACACGGTGCAGACGTGAACTGCAGCGCTCAGGACGGGACACGGTGAGGATTTACGATCCAGTCCTGGTTCCGGGTAGTTTAAACTCCACACGTCACGTCGTACGTTTGTTTCCCCCCTCAGGCCTCTTCACGACGCAGTGGCCAGTGATAACCTGCCCATCGTCTGGCTGCTCCTGAACCACGGCGCAGACCCCACTCTGGCCACTTACTCGGGCCACACGCCGGTCAAGCTGGCCCACAGTCCCAGCATGAAGACCTTCCTCACAGGTACATCAGTTGTTTTCCTGCTGTTTGTCAGAAGAACTCGTTTTTCATAAACGGACAAACAATAAGATTTTATTTTTACATCAACAGCAGCTAAACAGCCTCGTGTCAACACGTAGCAAAACTCTTAGAAATAAATATCTGACAGAGATTTTACCAAGTAAAGATGTTATTTATGAGGTAATTAATTATGTGATAAACAAATGAAGCAATTCTGAGATGATGTAATGCTTTCTATTCATCTAATAGATGATGTCGTTATTTTTCAGTTGATGTCTTTAACTGAAGACTTGGTTTCTGTAGATTGGTTAAAATTAAAGACCCAACATTCCTTGGAGGAGTGACGATCACAAAAAGCTTTTTATGCCAGAGTTTTAGACCTTATCTTATCTTTTAATGACAACAAAGAGCAGCGTTATAACCATTACAGTCAAAGCTTGAAGACTTTAAGCTCATTCTTATGCAGTAATTTAAAATGTTGGGTGATCTGTTAGAGCTTGAAATATAAACTTAGTGCAAAGATGAAAGACATTAATGTTTGGTAGATTATTTATTGTTGTAACAATGCTTCTCAAAAAATCTTATACCATTGGAAAGCCCGTTAATTCCCCTTTTTAAATGGTGCCACATTTGTAAGGAACATGCATCTGTGGGATGAGCAGTAGAGCTGAGTATGTGGGTTAATAAACTGTTTCATGTACGCAACATGAAACAGTTTATTTTGCTGTTATTGACTTGTTTTTAGCATTTTCTACCTCCAGCTTCCCGCTATAAGGTTTATTTCCAAGAATAAATCATCTACCAAACACTAACTTCCTTACTTTGTGTTAAATATGTGTTGATCATCAGGTGATGAGGAACTAAAACATCAGGATTGTTAACAGSAAGTTTTTACTTTGTGGTTTGGATGATGGTGGTGAAATCTTTCTCAGCACCTGTTCAGGTTGGAGTACAAGTCATTTGTTACGACAGATTTCTGCAGCGTTTAATGAGTCTCACCTCACACCACAGAGCTCATCCAGACTCAGCAGCTCACATTAWAAAACTTCACTAAAGGATTATTATTCATCCACTCATGAGCTGTTCTGTTCCCAGAGAAAATAATAAATGGGTTTAAACCTTTTTTTTTTGTGGGAAAATAACCCAAGATTTTTTGTTTTCAGAGTATTTCACAGACCTGGAAGGCCGCAGAGACCAGGATCCTGGTTCACCCTGGGATTTCTACAGCAGCTCCCTTTTCGGTGAGAAACCTCAGCCGGGTCTGTCAGCTCATAGATCAGACTAACGATCGGTTTTAATTTGAGTGTGATCCGGTCCCTCTGCCGTCCTCCAGGCCGACTCATTAGTGCTGGTTGGACTGATGAGCAGGTTGTTGATCAGAGATGTTAGGCTTCGAGTTTTAACATCTCTGCTGTTTAACGGCCACGAAAAGATGATCGTTTTGAACAAAGTGGCCACTAGAGGGCGTTTTAGACCAAAAGCTGAGCGTCTGATTGCTCCGTTTCCTCTGACCCGGGTTAACCTCTCTCCTCAGAGACGGAGCAGGAACCGTTCTGGGACTTCCTGCTGTCCGAGGAGAACCAGGAGACGGAGGAGAATGGAACCATCAAGACTGAGCAGGACTCGGAGAAAGACTGCCTTCTGTTTGAGTTCTCCTCCGAGCCTCTGTTACCCTGCTACCATGTTCAGGTGTCGTTAACACAGGGGTGAGTTCAGAAAGATCATCTGTTAATGAGAATAATTAATGAGAAAAACAACAAAAAATCAACATAACAAGATATATTTGTTGTATTAGAATAAAATGTGACATGATTCAGATACTGCAGTCCTGCCACAGAAAGATTTTATCTAAAACAGATTGGAGCGTTTTTTTTATCATCTAGGTCACAAAATGAACATGAACATTTTCATTTCTGCACTGAAAACAATAGAATAGAATAGAATAGAATAGAATAGAATAGAATAGAATAGAATAGAATAGAATAGAAACAGCCTTTATTGTCCCATAGAGGGGGAATTCAGGTGTAGCAGTAGCAGCAAGTGCATCAATCCACAAAACAATATATTGCTATGCAACATTATCAATAGTGGCAAAAACAGAATTAAATTTATTAAAAATTAATAAAATAAAATAAAAATACCGTACAATGCAATACAATTGAAATAACATAAAAATGGAAATAAGATACTGAAAAAACAATCTTGAAAAAAACAAGAAAACAATCATGACAGACTTGTGTTCCAGTACTGGAAGATATACAACAGCCACAGAGTATTATTTTTGTAATGACTGAGAGCGCGGGTTGGTTAATGTGTAAACACAGCATGGATGCTTATTGAGTTTGTTGGAAGCAGTGCTGGTTATAGAGTTGAACAGCTGCTGGGAGGAAGGATCTTCGGTAACGCTCCTTTGTGAGACAACACCTGCTTTGTTTGTTATTAAATTATTTTTGACTCATTAATTATGGGATCCTGTTAAAAACATGAAAACCTAAAATTAGTTTGTCTCTGAATCACATACGTTTCCATCATCTGCCGTTTGTCTCTTCTACAGTTTTTGTAACTGGTTCCTCCTGGCCGACGTCCTGAAGCGTCTGAAGATGTCAGCACGGATCTTCCGGGCCCGCTACCCGCACTTCGAGGTGGTGAGTTTGTCCCAAGCTGAGCTCTGGAGGCAGGTTTCCATCAGCCAGGTGAACTCTACTTTAGCTTCTCCACAAAGAGGCAAAAATGAGGAGGAGGAGGAGGAGGAAGAGGAGGATGACGAAGAAGAAGAGGGTCTCGTGGAACTGGTTTGTTGTGTACCGGAGCTCCAGAGACTACTGGGCTCCTCCATTCACATCCTACAAGAGGATGAGGATGAAGAGGAGGAGGAGGAGGAGGAGAAACTAACTTCAACAGGGAATCCTCGGAGCCGATAGCCCCTCAGAAACTCCTCCAGCTCTTAAGAAGCTTCTCCGTCCGTCGTAACGAGGGTCAGGGGACATCACAGACTCCACACTCCACCTTGGACCTCAGACACGGGACACGCACAGAGGTGGCAGCTTTCAGGTTCCTATTATAGGTCTATTTCAGTATATGAGAAGCTTTTTTTATTGATTATGTCTGTACATTGTAGTGTATATGTATATCTTGCCATCAGGGTCAAACACTTGTTTATATAAAGAAGTTCTTGTGGCAAGGAGCCGGTCATTTTAGGACTTTTTCTTTTTGTTGGTTTTGTTTTAAGTTTGCTCCTGAAGGGAAGTGACTTTATTTCTGACAGGAGATAATCCGAGGCTTTTTATCTCGGTGAATCCGCGTGTGAAGCTAAGACGCTAAGGTCAGGGAGGCCCGCGACCCAGACGGCTCCTCTATGAACCTGGGATATCTGCAGTGATGAAACCGCAGCACATCTTCACACCCTGCTCCCCTCTGATCACCGCCAGACGTGTTTAATAACTTACACGTTTTGTTTTCATCCTCCACGTTTCACGGAGTCCGTCTGGGCCGAGCTAAGGCRTCCCTGTTCCTGCTCGCAGTATGAAATGTTGCTTTGGACCTTAAGAGATTGTTTACAGACACTCCTCATGAACTTGAATCCTGTGGATCTCGAGACGCCCTCCGAACTGCAGCCCCCACAACAAAGTGTTCCCAGATCCCAGAGTGCTTTGTGTCGCAGTGTTTTCTTTACACTGTTTGTTGTGCTTAATTTAATAGTCATTAATATATTTGACCTCTCGTGTATCTGACCTTATGTATGAAAAAAATGCTTTTTATGGTTGGTGCTTCATTCTAAATTGTACTTACTAGGATCCCTTTATTCTGAGATTTTCCTCCCTTCTTCAAAACCAGTATTTCAAAAACAAACAGCTAAAGTACAGTTTTATTGTACTGGTGCTAACATAGAGTTTTGTGTTGACAATCAATGAAGTTTTGCTTTGAAGTCACAAACTGATAAAAGATATTTAAGAGACTTAAGGTGTAAAGAAAAGTTTAGTTTAGTTAAAGTAAACGGGACGCAGCTCAGAAACTGTGTGAGATCATGACAGAGGCTTCTATTTGATTCTTTTATAAGAAATCAAACAGAATAAAGCATGATTGTAAATCATAGCTTTTATCATCTTGTGTCCGATTATTTAAATGTTTATGCGTTCAGGGTTTCATTTTTTTTTGTTTGTTTGTTTTCAGCTTTTATTTGACACAATGTTTAATTTACAGCAGCTCCTACTGAACACTATTTTTGATTTTATAAAAAAATTGTCCCAGAACAAAAATAAAAGGAAAGGGGGTTTTGTCGATGGGTTTTGACTCAGAATCACTTCCCAGTTTGAGCTGTGACGTTTTGGACACCAAGGTTTTAAAAAAAATAAAATAAAACTACCATAATCTTTTTCAAAATAAAACAACACAAAGTTTGTTTTTCATGCTTCAAAGTGAGAAACTTATATTCCCCAAGTTCTGTCCTTTTGTTTTCGTTTGATGTCTAAAGTCAGCGAAATCTTATACCGCTGAGTCAGGTTTAGCTTTTATGTATCTTATTTTTTTCTCAAACAATTAATATCTTTTATTTGTGTCTGATGTTGGATTCAGATGAAGTCAGGCAGGAATCCTCGTGGACTATGATGCTTGAGAGCAGGTGGAAGAGAACTCAGAGAGGTGAAAGAATGACCGTCAGTGGTGACGAGACGGCTGAAAGACGAAGGTTCAGTTATTATTATTATTGTTATTATTAAAATATTAAATCCTTACAGATCAGGCTGCAGATTAAACTACCTTTAGCTTCCCTAAAGTTAAGTTCTAAACGTTTTTTCAGTGGTTTAACATTACTCTGTCATTCTAAATTTCTACTAAAGCTTTGAAACGTGACATAAACAGAGTTAAACTAAAACAGCAGACTGTCTGTAAACCACATAAGCAGGTCTGAGGTGGGTTCAGCTGCTGGTTTCAGGAGGTTTGACCTTTTTCTTTCTTTATTCTTTTAATCCAGCAGAGGGAACCAACGGCAGCAGCTCTGTCTGCAGGAACAATCTTTACCTGCTGCTTCCTCCACCTCATCTCAGTCACTCTGAGTTTATTTCCAATTTATTGGCTGACAGAAACCTGCAGAGCTCAGTTAAATTTATTCAGACGCTGTGGGGGTTTTACAGCCTTCTTCACGGGTCATCTGAGAACACGATCAAGCCAAACTGTCTTATATGGTTTAGATTAAAATATGACCGAGCCTCGTTCTGTTGCGGCGCAGCACGGCTGAACGCTGGATAAGTCTGCAGTCTGTGACTGAACACAAATAAATGTGACATAAAGTCAGTTTTACCAGCAGTGTCTGAACACACACAACTTCAAACTCACTTTAAATCAAATTAAAACTGAGTTCAAACTAAGCTGCAACAAGCTTCACATTTAAAAGAGTACATCACCCGCCGCCTTTCATGCCAGACTTGATGTCAGGTGAACATGGGGATGACTCAGCAGATTTTACCTCAGTTTCTGTACGATTTGAGTTCCAGGCGTTTTGTGTCGACCAGCTGTGGCTCTAATTGTTAATGAGCTGCAGGTGTTTCTCTCGGTTCTGTCCAGTGGCTCCTGACATATTTTGCTAACAGACAAGCAAGATTGATGCCAACGGTAAATGTCAAAACTTAAAATATTCAATGAGCAGCGCWTGTAGWTTGTRTCGGGGATGACTCTCAGCTACTACCAATTCTGGTGTTAGCTCATCCGTAAAACTGAGTTGTTATTTTCATGTCAGCTAATGTCAGTTAGCTTTGGCAGCCTTTTTAAATAGTGTGGTTTTGGTAAAATTTCCATTGGTTCATGAGATATTTGCTAACAGACAGATACGGTTGCTCCAGTGACAAAGTAAAAAAAAAAAAATAGTGTGATTGGTTAGCGCTCAGTGTATGTGTTGTAGATGACTTTTAGCCACTAACACAACAAACGTTAGCTCATATCTGTCAAATGGACTGAGTTTTAGCCACTTTTGTGTTTGCTAAGATCACTTATCTGTGGCAGCCATCTTGGATTGAGTTGAATCTAAAAGTTAATCTGTTGCAGAGGTACATCCTCTAAGTTTCAATAAAATCCCCCTTAGCAAAAAACTATTATACTTGAAGTTCATTTTAATAAGTATACTTGAGTTTAAGTTCAAGTATATCAAGTATACTATGTACTTGTAGTATACTTGAAAGTATATTGATTAAATACTTGTGCATACTAAAATGTGGCATTTTTTAGTTTATACTTTAAGTATAACGTTATAATGTTTAAAAAATTACCAAAAAGAAGTGTACTTTAAGTATTTGTCATTAAGTATACTAAATATGTACAAGTGTATGTCCCTAAGTGTACTTTTATTTACC